AAAACCATTAAATTTTTCAGAAGTTCTTTGGACTTGTGAAGTATCCAAAATATTTATGATTATTCCGTAAGTTCACTGGACCGGGGTTTAGAATTTTAACAGAAGTTATTGAAACATTCTTTAATTTATCGAAACTTACTTAAAAGTCTGGGCTTTTCTGAAGTTTCAGAACTTTTTAAAAGGGAAGTCGAAATAAGTTTCCGAGAGGAATCGTAAATAGAAAATTCCAGGGGAAATTTTGGAAGAACAACCAGGAAGTTAAATAATGTTTGAAAAGTATCCCCTGAATTACCAGAAAGAGCCATCGACTGTTTATCGATTCATGGGTAGCCAGAAACTCCCCACCGTTTTTGGCTACCCATTGAAACGTCAATCGAAAGAGTATCCATAAGACATTTTTGAAGATGATTTTTGTTTTAGAATTTTAAAGACTCAAAAATTTTTAGATATTCAAAAAGATACAAGTCTCACACAATAATTTTGATTTTGATTATTAAAAATAACCGGTATAAATCGGCATGACACCTCAAAAATCGGTATTCTGAGGAACCTTACCTGTATATCGGTATCTATTTTGGAAATTGGTATAAATACCGGTATATCTGGCAACGCTGCTTGGCATAGATGGTCCACATTTAGGGCATTTAGGCTCACATTACATCCATTTCCTCTACATTTTCTCATTGGCCGGAGACTTTTGCGTACCGTGATAGAGGGCCGGGATCCTTGATTTGTTTTCCGTCGATCTTGTTTTCCGTGCTGAGCACCAATGCTACCAACGCCAGGGAGGCAGCTCCCACAACTGGACCCTACCTATCGACTCATCAACTCATGAACCGGGGACCAACGGCTTTACTTCCCTTCCGAAGGAAGGTGTGATCAGAGATGTTATGCCTCAGAACATCCCGGCGACGCCGACTGGGATTGAACCCAGGCCTGCTGGGGTGAGAGGTAATCACGCTTACCACTACACCACCGGCGCCCCTAGAGGGCCGGGATCAACCCGAGTTCCCGGTAAAGCAGGAAATGCCACTATCTGTCGACATAATTTTACACTTTACTTAACGTTTATTGCTGAAAATTGATAGTACTAACTATATATGGTGTGAAGACACCATATACGCCCTCAAGGAAACTCTACTGGCCCTAAGGAGGATCCGGAACGACCGATTAACTGGTCACTTTATAAAAAATGTCCTAGAACCTTGTGATTTTTTCTATGTTGTTCAAAATCAAGAGATCAAAGCGAATTTAATACAGAAACTTTATTTTGGGGTATAATGGCCATATTCTGGTTCCCGGATAACCTGGATTGACCGATACAGAGGCAGCGTTATAAAAATTGTCCTAGAACCTTGCGATTTTTTCGGAGTTGTTCAGAATCAAGTGAACATGGCCGGAGAACCAGAATATGGCCACTATACCCCAAAATATAGTTCCCATATAAAATACGCTTTAATATCTTGAATCGAAATTAGCTGACGAAATTCCGGGACTTAAATTATTAGATTTGGGCTACCTAGAATTGCCAATAATTTTAGCATTCGCAGATGATTTGATTATCATAGCTAGAAATAAAAAAGAACTTGAAAAAATACTTAAGGCATTATTTGAAAAAAAAAGTTTGATTAACCTTGTGTTTAGTTTGTGTATTGTGCGTGTAGTTTTTTTTATGTTTGTTTTCAAGATGAATAGAAATAAGTTCATGTTTTAGGATTAATTAAATATTTATATAATAAATCATATTTCAAACCTCCTTCTCCCTTTCCCCAACCTCGAGACGACCGCGAGTAATCGGTTCAATTCCTTTAACTCTAGATTTAAGACATTATTCATGTATAATGCAAATGATAACTCGGCTCTGTAAAGTTTATTCGATTGAGCCTGTACAAATAAATTAATATAAAAAAAAAAATTATTTGAAAAATTGAAGACAGTACGATTAGAAGTAAATTTTGATAAATGTCAAGTCCTTATTAGGTTTCCCAACGATAAATCTAAATCGCTAACTGAAATAACTCTAAATGGTAATACATTCAAAGTTAGTGAAAAAATTAGATATTTAGGAGTAACACTAACTTCAACTCTAAGTCGGAAATTTACTAACAGGCAGAGATGCTTGAACGCATATAAAACAAGTCAAATTGTGGTAGAGTTCTGTAAAAAATTTAAACCAGCATGGGAACTAGGAAAACTTATTTACAAAACTGTTATAGCACCGTCATTAACATATGGTACAAAAGTGTTAGTTTTGACTAAGAAAAGCAGAATTTCGATGGCAAATTTTGAAAAACTAATACTGAAAAATATATTTAATCATTGTAAAAAAGCAAATAGTATTAGATTCAATGCAAAAAAAACTATTGGAGGGTAAAACAATCAACAGAAAAATAAGAATAGGGCGGTTAAGCTACTTCGGACACATTATGCGCAGGGAAAGGGAACATCCTCTTAGAAAAGCATTTCAATTAAAGTTCAATAAAAAGAAAGAAGGAAGACCTAGTTTGACTTAGAAGGATTCTTTGGAGCAAGATAAAAATAGATATAGAGAATTAACAGAGAGAGATTGGATAGAGTTAGTTAAAGATAGAGAAAAACTCAAAAATGCAGCTGAAACAATTTATAAAGATAGTTCAAGCGAAATATCAGATGAGGAATCTACGGATGAAAACGAGAGTGAAAGAGATAGATACAAACATTGGAAAAAAAAATTCAAGAGGAAATGAAGCCAAGATATGCAAGAGGATCAATAAACACAAAATTAAAGTAAAAATAGGCAGAAATAAAGGTAAAATTAACAAATAGACGTGAAATTCATATCAGTTAAAACAAGAAAAACTAAACAAAGACTTGGGCTGCACTAAACTTATGCGAGATGACGAACAAAATGGTTCCAATAAAAAAAAAAAAAAAAAAAACTATACATGGTAAGATTATTCTAAAATGTTGATATCAAGGTAAATGACTGTTATTGATGAATCATTATATAAAACATACAAATTACAATATACACTTAAAAACATATACAAAAGGGAAGGAAGGGTCCAACAGGGCAACCGATTGAAGCGATTTGGATAGGGAGAGTGGGATTTCCAACTTCCTGTTGCTAACATTTCGTGGATAAAGGGCGGGCTCTTCTCCACACTCATGGGGCATCCTTCAGGACGAGGGCTTGTTCCATTGCGAATTATATGATCTTGGTAGCTGGAAGGAGATTCTTATTCTGTTCCCGGTGGGTTTCGTGTGGGTGTTTCTGCTCCCCTCCGTTTTTGGCCTTTCATACAGCGACAAGCTGAATATGATTTGTCAGTGGAACTTGATCAAGCCGTCCAGATTGGATTGCCCATTGCTATGTGCAGGCGCCTTGCTACATGAGTGGTAGTCTCAATCATCATCATCATCATCAAAATACGCTTTGATATCTTGATTCTGAACAACATAGAAAAAATCAAAAGGTTCTGGGACAATTTTTATAATGTAGCCACTTTATCGGTCAATCCAGATTGTCCGGAGAACCATAATATTGCCACTATACCCCAAAATATAGTTTCCATGTTAAATACACTTTGATCTCTTGATTCTGAACAACATAGAAAAAATCACAAGGTTCTAGGACATTTTTTTATAATGTGGTCACTTTATCGGTCGTTTCGGATCCTCCTTAGGGCCAGTAGAGTTTCCCTGAAGGCGTATATGGTGTCTTCACACCATATATACTTAGTACTATCAATTTTCAGTAATTTACGTTAATTATGACGGTAGATAGTGGCATTTCCTACTTTACCGGGAATTCGGGTTGCTCTCGGCCCTCTATCTCGGTACGCAAAAGTCTCCGGCCAATAAGACCACCACCAATCGATTCAACAGATTTTTCCTTTGAGAATATGTATAACATGTTGACTGAAGCCGTTTGGCAGCCGAGATATTCAATTTAGTCACGGTTTTGTCAATTTTTGCCCACTGTGCAGCGGCTCACGACGAGCAACTTAATCCGATTAGTAGCGTTGCGGTTTCTTCCTCCTTCTTCGATGAATGGACGCTCATGAGGGCTGCAACCTTTCGTTGTGTACTGGAGAACAATGTTCGCGCCGAAAGCACTGCTGCTGCTGATGCCGACGACCGACCGGACACCACCACCATTCGATTTTGAAATCCGCGTTAGGTTGGACATTTGTGTAGTTTTTTTAATAGTGAGGTTTTGAAAATTGATAAAGTGTTCATTTAAGCAGATATGTTGAAAAATTACAATGACAATCCATCCGCTATTGACAGAGTCATAAGGGGTCAAAACCTGACCACTTTTCGTGACGCGGTCGATTTGGGTTTCTTGAAATTGCACTTCCAATATGTTGCCAAAAGGCGTAATCCAAGTAAAATAGTCATGAGTAACCATCATGATAGGTCTGATGCTGACCGCTGGTTTGATGTATTTGTCAGTTGGTATGGGTCAGAGCCTAGGAAATAGCTCGAATTATACTTTTCAAAACTTTAAATTTATTAAAGTTTCATTTCATAAAGATTTCATCTCATCATTTATTTCGCAATGTATATAGTAAAACTTCATCGACTATTGTTCCTAATTCTCTGTATTCGTTTCTCCATTTCCATGTACTATGTTCCCACGTGGCTAAAACCAAAAACAACACATTTCGTGTTTCATTCGTCGTGCTCGTCCTACTCGTGTGGCCAACCACCTGTGACCGTTTTCCACAACAGCTGTCGATGAACCCGTTGAAAAGTAAGTTACTTTCCAGATTGGTTACATTGTTTTCATTCTGTGTTTGATGTTTGGCCCTTTGTGAGTTTGTAAAATCATGTAGACCTATTGACGTGTTTCCGAAACAATAGAACTGTTTCAATGATAGCTTATTTTTTGCGCTTCCATGTCCACACACATGAAACCTGCCGCAACGCATCGCTAATGCTTATGTTCCTCCAAATGCAACGCTAATATCAATAACGCTCGTTTGAAAATATTATGTGCCACCCACCCTCAACAGAGAGGATAGAAAAGCGAGAACGGTGAGTTTTGTTTGATATTAAATATTTAATTGCCATGCATGGTTAGGAAAATTTAACGTCCCGTGTGCAGTGGAAATTGGTTCTGATTTCCCGATGTTTTCTTCGAAACAGACAAATCGACGGCCTCGCACCGACCTTCATCAAGAAGCCCTCGATTCAGCAGGAAAACGACGGCAAACGGTTAATCTTCGAATGCCAGATCCAGGCAGATCCGAAACCACAGATCAGATGGTCACACAACAGCAAAGTGATCGACAACACACCAAGGCATAAGGTTTGTGCTTTAAATCCACACCGACTCAAGCTCTAATGTCCGATTTAATGCTTTTTTTTTTCAAACAGTTCAAAGTACAAAACGACGGCAAACTTTACTTCGCAACGCTGGAGGTGGATAACGTGACGTTCGAGGACTCGGGCAAATACAAGGTGACGGCCAAGAACGAACTGGGCGAATCGAGTGCGACAATCAGCTTGAACTTCGACAGTGAGTATGGCGGGCCATTTAGTTGCTGTTTTGAAAAAAAAAAAATCTTCACACCCTTCAAACTGTCCTTCTGTTTGTGTTTTGTTTCTCCTTTTGTCATTCGAACATCGTCCAAAGAGCACCGGCCAGAACAGACGTCACACTTGCGCGGTGGCCGCCGGTCAGCGCTTGCAAGAGTTGTCGTCTCCGTATTGGCCGGTGTTCGAAATCTTCCGATCTTTTGCCATCATAGAGCATTTTCCCTCACATGTAGCTAAACGATTGGAAATGGAAATGATTCACTGAAATTGTCAAAACGTAACACACCAGCAAAATGACACATAGTTGTTGACATTTCATTACAATTAAGGAAATTGGACCGCAATGTTCGTTTTCGCTTCAACTTCTTCCACATATCTTTAGTTTGTACATAGTTGTTCATACTTCATGTTTTTAGTTGTTTAAAAAAAAAACTCGTACACTACTGTAATTGCTATCGTAACAACAATATCAGCTGGATTGTTGTTTGTAAAAAAAAATCGTACAAAAAGTCGCCTTCAACAGAACATCGGTAGATTGGAGTGGGAACACTGCTCCCAGAGCAGATCAATGATCTTATGAATTAAAAATAACTCACAATCTCCGAAGCACAAAGGGAAAAAAAAAACATGTAAAAAGCGTGTATTGAGAAAACAAAAATCCCACACGGGAGAGTGTTGAAGGAAAAGCGCTCTTTTGAATTCCTCTAAAAATAAATGTATTGAGAGATGTACTATCATAACAAATACCGTCGATACCGAAAACCGCAGTGAGAGACCGATTAAACCACAAGAATTACTTTCCCCACCCTTTCTTCCCTCCCTTCTCTCCGCTTTCTCTCTATCTCTTCCCAATACAGGTGAGGAAGTTCCGGTGCCAGCGGATGGTTTTAAGCCTGCCTTTACAGAACGACCTGTCACACGACAATCGGACGATGGCAAGAATATTGTATTTGAGTGTAGATGTATCGGTGATCCGAAACCAACATACACATGGCAAGTGATTCCATTCATATACTTTCTAGTTTACTTACTTTTACTAAAAAAAAAAGAAATCGAAGGTCAATTTTGCATATATTTAGATCGACTCCTTCCCCGAATATCCCAGCAATGATCCCCCTCTTGAATCCCAAATGCAACCATGCTAATCCCAAAATTTTCTCCCTCCGACAAACAACGCCAACTTTACGAAACAATAGGTACCACGAGAAGAATGAAATTCAGATGAGTGGCAGGTTCAGTAGTGAGGTAGAGGAAGACCAAAACCATTGCTATCTGATACGGTTCACGATCAAGGACGTGAAGCAATTGGACCGGGGCGGGTACAACGTCCTGGCGAAGAACAAGCACGGCGATTCGTCCGCCATCATTAACCTGAACTTCGACTCGAGCGCGAAGATAGTGTAAGTGTAGGGCGCTAGACGTAGATCGAGAGGGCGTTTTGTTGGGAAGCAAGTGTCGCCGGTGTTGGTGGTACCCATGTTGTTTATTTGAGAGGTAGCTTGGGGATAAATCGTTGGACGTCGTCGTGGCAGTTGATTGAGCTTTATCGTTATAGGAGAGTTGAAAACACTTTATTGCACACAGCGGTGATAGTCCCTACACGGAAACAAATCGACATGTACGGTTTATTGGATCCATCTTATAACAATTAGCAATGTCAGAAGATTTATTCATTCTATGTGATGATTGATAGATTCAATTGGATTATCATTGCGATTGCGATGTGGAATGATTTCTATCGTAATTGCACATACTTAGTACATGATATTCCTTTGCTTTGAACGTGGTTTGCGATGTGTAAGACGTATATTAGACCTGTTCATTTTAACACAAATGTTCGGGATGCACCGGGTCTGTTGTCTTGTGAAGTTTAGTTATAACGGCCTCTTTTCTGATTTTTATCTCTCAATATATGGAATCTACACGAAAACTATATTTGTACGAAATGTCTAGAACAGTATTAGGAACATAATGCCGTAGACTACACATTTTTATATCATATGGATGGAAAGTTCGTAGAACAAATACTTTAAAATTCTTTTTAAGATATCTTCGAGCATGAAACTAAGTCAAACTTCAATAAAATCACTTTGAATAGTCAACCTTTAGTCACAAAGTTGGTAGATAACACGTTAAGTTTTGCTATGAAAGTTGTTACAGCAGTTTTCGTTGTTTCAGTCCCGAGATACAAATATTATAAGCCGTAAATTAACTTAAAAACATAAAATTAACTTGAAGCACCTCCAAATCATCACCGATTTTGCTGAAAATTTGCACAGATGTTTAAATTAACATGACAAACAGTAATAACGGTTTATCCGGAGCATCCCGATCATTTCTGTTAAAATGAACAGGTCTAACGTATATGAATATTATCTGATATATTTTATGGTGAAAAACTGTTGATGTGTCAAGGGTGGGAACAGATATCTAGAAACTAATAGATAAGCCTAACTATAAGAAAATCCAGTAAAATGTACCTTTTTTCGTGATGTTGCTGTTGCTCATTAAAAGATAAAGGGGCTCTAATGTTGGCCTATGGATCTAAGATTGGGCCCATCGCTAAAAATCTGCTATTTTTGGTCGCTATTGAAAATTTAGTCGATTGTTGAATTTATGTATGGGCCCAAATTAGGAGCATTTAAGCCGATACTACATCCATTACCCGTATCTTATAAGTTAATCATGTATATTTTATTGCAGTTGCTCTTAGCGATTTTTGACGTTTGTTGATATGTCGCATGTAAACAGACATGTAGAAGCTATTGGACAGTCATTTAAGTTTGCACTATAGAAAAATATGCATAATTAATTGGAATTATAGTCGTTTTGTTTATAGTCTGGCGGATAGAATCTCGGGAAGCAAATGAACTGTCAAATAACGGAACCAATCGAGCATATCACGACCAACAACAGAAAAGAGCATATCAGTTTTAACGAACAAAACTTCGGAAGCCCTTTTCTCGTTACTCAAGGCTTGCCTACGCAAACCAACTCCATCATCGGGTTGGGGAAAGTTTTCCCTATCCGATGATGATGTTAATTTGCGTTTGGTTGGTGAGGAAGGAACGATTACAGTTTTGTTTATAAAAGTTGATAGTACCTTTCCAATTGTTGGTCTACAATATATTGAATTGGTTCCGCTTTTTGATAGCTTTAAATTCTATTCGCCAGACTATAAATATAGCGGCTATAATTGACAAATCCAAGTTTCAATCGGCCACCGTGGCGCTGCAATCGCAGCGGTGATAAGTCCGAAATAATGTGTCAAACTTCAGTCCGCATCGTGCTCTCTTGCCGTGCGGATCTATTTGCTTTTTGCTGAAGGAAGTGTTACTACTACCTAAAGCTACAACAAATTTAAACAGCACTTTTCAGTGCTCAACCTGTAAAATTTCTACCTTGTTCAACTTTATTCCTCTTCGATCCTTGTTTGGACCCTACCCGAGGTAATCCTTCTTGGATATCGATTTGGAAAATTCCTCTTCGATCCTTCAGATTCTTATAGTAATCTGCTTGGAAGTCGATTTGGATAAAAATTTACTGCCGCCATGGCGCCTAAACGCAAAAGAAAGGGGCAAACTCTTGAACCCCCTTCTGAAGAAATTAATTTGAGTAATCAATTTGATTTGCTCACGGATGATGAGAATGATCCATCATCCAAGAAAAATTCTAGTAAACTTTCCCGGCTTAATGCCAAGAAGGAAAAGATTCCCCCTATTGTGATAACCACTTCCGATTTCCATGCTCTTCGCATGGAACTTTTGAACTTCGTAAAAGTTAAGTTTTCTCTACAAATTGGACGTCGGGGTGAATGCCGTGTATTGGCTGAAACCTTGGACGAATTTAAATGTCTTCTCAAGTATCTTACTGAGAAGAAGCACAAATTTTTTACTTACGACACCAAAACTGAACGTGTGTTCAAGGTTGTCATGAAAGGACTGCCCAGTGGTGAATCCCTGGATCAGATCAAAGATGAACTGGCAAAATTACTTGGAGTTGTGCCACTCCAAGTAATCAAAATGAAAATGAAATCCCGTCCTGGCGATTCACGCAACGGGATTTCTAATGATTTTTATTTAGTTCACTTCAAGTCTAGTGAACTAAACAACCTTAAGGCCTTAGAAAAAGCTAGCCTTATGCTCCATGTCCGAGTGAAGTGGGAACACTTCAGGAAGACTGGAGGAAATTTCCAAAACCTTACTCAGTGCCGTAAGTGCCAGGGTTGGGGCCACGGAACTAAAAATTGCTACATGCCAGCTAAATGCATGAATTGTGGTGATTCCTCTCACGCAAAGGACGACTGTCCTGTGAAGGAAGATCCTAAGAAATTTAAATGTTCAAATTGTGGTGAAAACCACAAATCCAATTTTTGGGAATGTAAGACTCGCAAAGCGATCATACAATCTCGTTCTAACCGACAGGTAAGAAACGCTCCACGTTTCCGACCAGGTACAAATTCCTCTGCTGTTAACAACGGTCAGCGAGGAACAAATTCTACATTCGTACCCGTAGGTACAAATATCACCCCTGCTTCAAATTTTTCATCTGTACCTACTCCCCTCGCTGCTAACAATGTTCAGCGAGTTAATGGAGCTACCTATGCTGCTATTGCAGCGGGTAGAAATCAAAATACTAACCAAAGTAATTCTAACGGAAATTTTGACAATTTTGACTTAGGAAGCATTACTGCTCCTAAAATGGAATTTTTACAGAAATCATTAATTGACATGATTTCTGATATGCTTAAATCTAACTCCATGTTTGATGCTATTCAAACTGGAGTAAAATTTGCAAATAATATTGTCATGACTTTAAAATTCAGTAATGGATTTTAAAGCATTAAATATTGTAAATTGGAATGCTCGATCTCTTAAAGATAATGAAGACGAGCTATTTAACTTTTTGCGAGTTCATAACGTGCATATTGCCGTTATAACTGAAACGTTCCTTAAACCTGACCATAAGGTTAAGAAGGACGCAAATTACATGATTTATAGAAATGATCGTCTTGATGGACCCTGTGGTGGCGTTGCCATCATTATTCATAGACGAATCAAACATAAAATTCTTTCTTCATTTGAAACCAAAGTTTTTGAAACTTTGGGAGTTTCTGTTGAAACAAAATTTGGACAACTTACGTTTATAGCTGCCTATTTGCCATTCCAATGCGTAGGCCAGAAAAAGAATTTTCTCAAGGGTGACCTCCAGAAACTTACCCGTCATAGGTCTAAATTCTTCATTATTGGTGATTTTAATGCAAAACATCGCTCATGGAATAATGCTCAAAGCAATTCCAATGGTAATATTCTGTTTGATGATTGTTCTGCAGGTTATTACACTATTCAATATCCAAACAGCCCAACATGCTTTTCTTCTGCAAGAAATCCCTCCACTATTGATTTGGTCTTAACTGATTCATGTCAACTTTGTAGCCAACTGGTTACCCATGCTGACTTCGGTTCTGATCACCTTCCAGTAACTTTTGAAATATCCCAAGAAATAATTTGTAATCCCAACAGCTCTACTTTCAATTACCATAGAGCTGATTGGGAGCAGTATCGAACATTTATGGAATATAACTTCGATCCAAACATTCCTTTGCAAACCAAAGATGAAATTAATTATGCTCTTGAATCTCTGACTACTTCTATAGTTGAAGCAAGAGCTGCCTCAGTACCAAAATGCGAGGTTAAATTCGATTCAATTATAATAGACGACGATCTTCAGCTCTTGATCCGTCTTAAAAATGTCCGTAGGAGACAATATCAAAGAACACGCGATCCTGCCATGAAGGTTATCTGGCGGGATTTGCAAAAACAAATTAAAAAGCGATTCTCTGCCCTGAGGAACAAAACTTTTGAAAATAATATTTCTAAATTAGACCCGAGTTCCAAACCCTTTTGGAAACTCACAAAAATTTTGAAAAAACCTCAAAAGCCTATTCCAGCGCTTAAAGAAGGTGGTAAAATTTTGATCACAAATTTGGAAAAAGCTCAGAAACTTGCTAAGCAATTCGAGAGTTCCCATAATTTCAGTTTGGGTCTTACTAGTCCTATTGAGAATCAGGTTGCTCGGGATTTTCGGAATATTTTCTCTCGGGAAAATATTTTTGATGATTCCTGGGGGACTGATTTGGACGAAGTAAGGTCTATAACTAAAAAGTTTCAAAATATGAAAGCTCCAGGTGATGATGGAATTTTCTATATCCTCATCAAAAAACTCCCAGAGAGTACCTTGTCTTTCTTGGTAAAATTATTTAACAGATGTTTCCATTTGGCATACTTTCCTGATAAATGGAAAAATGCAAAAGTTGTTCCAATTTTGAAGCCGGATAAAAATCCAGCTGAAGCTTCTAGCTACCGCCCAATAAGTTTGCTTTCTTCAATAAGTAAACTTT